GAAAGGGGGGGGGGGGGGGGGGGGGTCGGAAAGAAGAGGCAGACGCCCGCCGGCCAATCCGTGTGTATTCATCATGTTTTTTTTTGGAGTGGAATCGGGGCTTTGAAGGCCGCCGCGATGTCAAGGGTGTGAGTCCGCTCTAAGCGTGTGTGTTCGTTTACATGGTTGATTGAGCTGTTGTCCTCCGGCGTTTGGGATGAGTGGAGAGACAGGCCAGCAGGCAATGACCTTCCGTCTTACCATACTTTCTGCTGTTGTTGCTGTTGTTGCCGTTACCGGTGTTGTTGTTGTCGTTGTTCGGACCTCGTATAATTTATTCACCAAACTACATTTTTCACTGCGTCTGCTGTTGTTGCTCTTCCAAGACTTTTTTTTTTTTGTTTTTACGAGTTTTTCTTTTTATGTTGTTGCCGTTGATTTTGTAACACCGTCTTGTACCTTTGCTTCTATCTGCTGTCCGTATGTTTTTGGGGGAACCAACCAGGGTCAAGTTAAGCACGATGAGAGAGCGCCGCACAACACAAAATGTGTATTATGTTCCCATCCACCGGATGGTAAAAGAGGGCCAGGATAACTACATAACTGCGCCGCAAAACATAACATGTATTCTGTATGTTCATACAAACGGTGTGCATCCATCCACAGGATGGTAAGAGGAGAGGCCAGGAGAACCAACCGCGTTAAACGTGTCACGTGACCATCAAGTGTGACCGTATTAATTTATGAATCTCGATGGCGCCGCAAAACCAGGAGGGTACACGAAGAACACAAACAAACGGACCGATAAGTGCGCCGAGCGGTTTAGATTATTGGCACCGTCAGGGCCGACCTAAAAAAAACAAACTCAAAATCAGCCCAGTATCCAGCCGGTTTTCCTCCTACTCACTGAAAAGACGTGGGCACATCCCTTACGACGGCTGTGGTTATCTCTCGAATGGGTATGTATGTATGCGTCGTCTTTCTGCGAGACTTTTTGTGTTGCATGTAACTTCCTAAAAACAATTGCAATCGATGTCATTCTGCAAGAACAACGTCCGGACCCCTTTTTTCTTGGAAGGGGGCCAGTCGCATCACCTATATCTATATACACGCCTCACTTTTCTTTGAACATGCCGGTGGATTTGGCCTATGGTCTAATCTCTCGACAAAAGATGATTGTTTCCAGAGCCAAGATTGAGATTTTCGGCAGTGGTGCACATCGTCTTGGTTTTGGAGTCCCGTAAATGACACAAGATAACACACACCCTGGACCGATTTTCAAATCTCGATTTCTCAACAATAGAAAGAATCACAGCGCCGAAAAAGGTGGCGTTGAAGCTGTCTCGTCGAGAGCTTTCGGAAAATGTATTGTTTCATTTATACATCCTCTTCCTTCGTGGCGTAATCGAGCTTCGAAAATTGGTCCAGGGGGTGTGTTATCTTGTGCCATACACGGTAATATTCGAGCTGTGAGAGTTCGGCATGGGGGTGGGTAGATACCACAATTTTCGGTCGATAATTGTACCAAAAAACATTTGTTGGTTCTGTGTCAACACAATAGAAAATCAAGGTCAAAGATTTCTTACATTTACCGAGCTACGCATCTCAACAGCATAAAAAAAAGGGAAGCAAAAGCGTGACCGCCCAAGTGATGACAACACCCACTACCTGTTTCTCTCCAAAAACAATCTACGAAACCAAACAATCGACGACATAATCAAGGCTATTCTACAACGAACCTCAAGATAACCAAGCGAGCCAGCCCCATGGAACCCAAGTCAACCCATGTACGTACCTAACCCAGAGAGCCAACAAATCGCGACATGTTCACCCACGCCTTTTCCCGCTATTACTAATATCGCCAGCGACAACATGACCAACATCATATCCATCTACCACACGCCATGTCGAACTCAAACACACAATGACCAGGAAAGGGCACCCGCGCCTCCCCCCCTCCCCCCCCCCTCCCCCCGTTCTCAACCACCACACGAGAGAAAAAAAATGCATCGACAACAAAGACCCAAATCAAGTGTAACGCGCTCTTGATCCAAGTGTAACGCGCTCTTGATCTCTATACGAACACTGGCAGACAGAGGACGTCCTTTGGCGCAGCCCCGAAGCGGCACCTCTCAACTATACTGGAGCTGTCTGCATCCCACTCTCAACAAAAAGAGGGGAGGGGGGGGGGGATCCGGCTCCCTTTGCCCCTGTGAAATGCGCTGAGATCTCCCCACGCTTGAAACTAACAATAGGGTTACTTATTTCGCTCATTGCGAGACTGTTCCTGCTGGCCTACCCACAACACGTTAGACAACACACCAGGGAAAATGATCGTTGGGATGGCAAAACTTGAACGATTGATGCCCCCCCGGCCCCCAAGTCCATACTTCCAAGACTTCCAGTAGCAGCAGCAGCAGCAGCAGCAGCAGCAGCGGCTCCAACAGCACAAGCACCAAAGACACCGCCCACCAAAAACGATCTACAAGGGAAGGCCTTGCTTCTACACCAACACCGCAGTTCCTTTCACATTCATTGGACGAACAAAACACCTTGGCAACTTCTCTTACCCCTCCTTCGGACTCCTTCGGAGCACCCATCTCGCACACCCTTACCTACCAAATCTTCCCGTAAGCGCTTCCCTAGCGGGCGCGAAACATGTATTGCTGACCGTTTCGTATAGAAGGGGAGCGAACCCTGCTCTGCGGATGGATCAACACCCGCGGGATGTTACCGCGGATTCAGCTTCCGAGCGTCCGCGACAAAAAAAAAAAAAAACTATTCGTAAGACCAAAAAAAAGAACACCACACGACAAAGAACGCATGTAACACGTGGCACGCCACACCAACTGCTGTGTCAATAGTCACCAAGGGCTATAGCTGGATGGAATGACTGTGCCTACTACCGCGCATGAAGGTCACCTCTACTATGATCATCGTGGGACACAACGCCGATGACACCCTCTCTCTCCCTCCCTCCCTCCCTCCCTCCCTCCCTCTCCTCTCTCATTTCCCCCGTCTTCTTGGAGTTCTCGCCCTCAAGTTCCGCCACCTCTCTCTCTCTCTCTCTCTCCAACGCCTACTCATCTCGGCCTTAGTCAAGTCTCCCTGTCGGCTCTCTCTCTCTCTCCCCTCTCCCTCCCGCGTTCCCACCGGCAAGAGCAAGGGATGCAAGCTTTGCCACTGCTGCTAGCCGGTCTAGGACCGACCGCCACACGACAGACAGCAGTATTTCATCCTCGCCCAACGCATGGTGATTGTACTCCATCGCGTACCACCCTCAACCATCACTCACAACGGGTGATCGCCCAACACCTTTAGCTAAAGGCTGACTGCTAAAGGCTGACTGCCTGCCCTGACCAGCTCGTTTTCTCACACCGCTAGTCAAGTCAGCCAGGCGCTGCCCTCTGGTCTTCTCCGCCTCCTTTCTTTTCAGCTGTTGTGCTCAACTCTTGCACCACACTGGCCGAATATTCCGTCTTATAACGTCGGCAGGATAGACACACGACCCTCACGCCCTGCCCCCCCGGCGTGCGTGCGAGCGGTGGGCTGCAAAACGGACGGCACGGCGCGTATTTGATTGCTTATCTCTCATCTCTCGCCGTTTTACTCCCAAACTCTGGCGGCAGGCAGTACAGTCTCTCATCTCGCTTGATTGCTCAAAGTCGCACCCACACGAACGACAACCAGGGGGAAAAAAATGGACCCCCCCCCTTCCCCCTCATATATCTGGCATGTCCATGGCATCCATATCCACCGCTACTCGTTGCTGCGAGTGCAGGCCCATCATCGAAGTGCATGCTGCCGCTGCTTTCGCTGCCACTTTTGCGGAGCTCGCCCCCGCCCCCGCTCCGGCGTGCGGGTAGTCGGCAGCGGCCGCAGCGGCGGCGGCGATCGTTGCCGGTGTCCGCGCACCCCCGTGGAGCAGGTGGCTCGAGTTGTCCACGAACGTGAACCCCTCAAAGGTGTCGTCGTTAGACGTTATGCTCTGCCCCAGCTGTTGCGGCGGGCGTTAGGGATAGCGTTAGGGTCAGGTACGGGGGGGGGGGTGCTAACTTGCGTGCGAGAAATTTCCTGGCTAGTCCTGCGAGGATGAAAACACATACATGCGTGCGGTGCCGGCGACATACAGCAGTACATGGTACTTGCGTGCCAGTGCTCATGGCGCGATCCGTGCGTGGGAAGTAGGGGGACAACCAGCATCATTCAGAGTATGAATGAAACAGCTTTTTAATATTCCGTCTGTGTCGCGCGATTCCACCGCCACTATACAGCGAAACCGGCATTATTCAACCGGCACTACACCGGGACTACTACTGTAACGCCAAGCGCCGCCAACAGGAACGAGCTAC